AACTCTTTCGCATTTCGATCTTGCTCTATGTAATGTTGTTGCTCTGTTTCCGTGCTCCTTTTATAATAGCTTTGAAACAGACTTTTTCTGTGACATGATCGATTTGGAAAAGACTATCAGCTTTGGCCTTCATGTCAGACTCGTAAGCTCTCACCATAGGAACCAAGCCTGCATACTTCGAATACGCCTTAAGTTTTTGAAGAATACGTTGAACTTTTCTCTCTTGGGGAATTTTCAAGATCGATCTATAAATCATCGCAAATTTAATTATCTAAGACTCAATATTAAAATTGGGAATAAAACATGGTTTAATTGTAGAAGACTCCAGATTCAAATTGTATAATTTTCTTCCCAAGGCCCTTTTGCTATCTTTTTTTGGGACCTCACTCCACTTCTGCCTAAGGCCAGAGAAAACTGCCTTTCATCGTTGTAGATTTTGTTTCAAAATCAGAAGACAGCTAGCCGCATCTATGTTTTCTCGGTTTTTGTTGCTAAGACATTGGTGTTTAAAAAGACTCATTTAGCTGTTGTAGTTTTAGGTCTCATGATAGTGAATGTATTATACGACCGATAAGTGCTCATCTCTTTTATCAATTCAGAAAGAATCACGATTGAGCTTTAAGATTATTTTGTTCTTCGAGATAAACTTTTTTAACCTTCTTATCCTCAACTATCTCTTTATTTTCCATCTCTTTTTTTTAGTATTGTAAGAGTTATCATTAGTTAGTCTAGTAAACAATGTCTCCATGTATGAAGAGTAACAATTTTTATAAAATTTGCAGTTTGTGACAAAAAAAAAATGCATATTTAAATTACATCTCACATTTTTAGCTATATACATACCGTACGTTGGGAGGAAAAAAAAATTAGTAAAAAGGATGATCGTTTCAATTAGCACTACAAATATATAACAAATCGCTTAAGAGTTTCTCGTGATATCTCTCAAGATTTTTTGTTAGTTTCGATTTTCCGGTATTTCCCACTTTTCAATTAATACATTTTACTTCTTTTTTTACTACGAAGAGGTTTGGGATCTTGACTACAAACCCGTTCAAATTGGGGATATAACATGTAAATTAGTGATATAACTTGTAAAGTACGTACGTCCTTTATAACGTCTCCTAATATACTAGAAAAGCTACAAAATGCAAGGCTACGTAATCTCATTCTTTCATTTGCATATATATAATTAAATTAAAGAAATGCATCGACGAAGATGTTACTGTTTGATAATAAAAAGACATCGACTTTCTATTTAAAGAAGTAAATCCGAAATTTAAAGAAACTAAAACCCTAAAACTGAAAAACATAGGTAACAACTTTATTTAGGTAACGATTTGTTTGAAACTGACAACAACGTAGTTCTGTATTTTTCTTTTATGATCATTCATTGAAATTCTTAAAAAGGAAAAATTAACAGTGTTCCATGAATCTCTCTCTGTCTTTTCTTTTTTTCTCTCATTTCAATTAACCATTTGTTTGTCCTATAATTAGCTTATAAGAATTAAGAACAAAGTATATATACCATTCCAAGATCTCATATCAAAAACGCACTTCCTTCCTATTTTACTTTTCCCTGTTAGGATTTGTTTCTAACATTTCCCTTGCCATAAACAATTCAACCATGGCAAGGATCTCTCTGTTGTTCTCTTTAGCCTTTGCTCTCGGCCTCTGCTCATTGTTCCTTTCCGTTTCCGGCCACGCCCCTCCCACGCTGAAAGTTCATCATTTATGGCCAAAAACAGTATACGAACTGGAGACCTTACCCTTCGCCAAAATCACACATTTACTAAACCGGAAAGAGAAGTTTGCCCCGAAAACCGCTGAGTTTAAGGCAATGTTCACAATGTGCAAAGGCTATGTCGTGTACCTCGAGAGCCTCTACAAGCTTGAGAATCCCATCGTAGATGTTTTGGGAATTGCCAAGGCCAAATACATCTTAATGGACAAAGCTATTCTGGCAGCGCAAGCTAGTGTTATCGGTCAAGTCGATAACAAAACTTCTAAAAGGAAGCTAAGGAAAAGCTGTAGTGGTTTGACAAAAACGTTTCTCCAGATTCAAAAAACGATCATAAGTATCTCAGCCAAACATGATTTCAAGGCCAATGCTAAGCTAAGCTTCCGCGAATCGGCAAAAATCAGTAACGTTGTGGTTGAGTTCAGGATGTATCTCGATGTTTTCATGGATATAGTCTACGATATTGAAGAGAAGAAGATGAAAATAGTTGGTCACCACGCAAGAAAACTTGAAGATGATAGAGTAAAAAATGCTTTCGCTCGGTTTTTCAGGACCTTTGCGGACAAGTACGGTGGTTATATGGGAGGAAAAAATCATGGAAGAAAACTAAACGAAGCTAATGATCAAAAATTCAATTCCCTTTCTCATGGTGGTGCTGATATTAAAGGATTTGAAGTCATTTGCGAAAATTTTTCAAAATACTTTGGTGGTTATTTCGGAGCAAAATCTCGAAGAGAATTAGCCGGAGTCAACGCCGGAGTTCAATTTAATGCAGCCGGGAAAATTAAATTCGTCGGAAAGGATGGATTCAGATCATTGAACCGTGCACATAACAAACATATGATTTGATTCTATGAATTTATTTCACAACAGAAGAAGGAAGCCATGAGTTCATATTTATTTTAGTTATTGTTATTGTTATTGTAAGAATACCAAGGAAGGAAAGGGCCTGCGATATTTATCTATATGTAATGTAACTAAAATAAAGTTGCAATATATAAAATTAATAAAATTTCTTATCGCTTACTTAATCAATTTTCTAAATTGCTATATATTTTCGTTTAGCACTGGCTTGATCGAAGGTTAAGTTGGGTGTCTAATTAAAACCAAATGGCGAAATGATAACTTTTATGTGGATATTGATTAATTAAGTTCATGTATGTTGCAAATGGTTTCCACAAGGTTGAAAAGGTAGAGTTATGTTTTCAACTTTTATCGGTGGAATGAGTTGAAACACTTTCTAAAAATTGTCAACCTAAATGGTAATAATTTATAGAAATGTTCAGTTTTACAAAATTTTGTTCCACTCAAATGGTAAAAATCTAGAGGAATATATAATTTCACCATTTTTATTCCTCTAATTGTGCAACCATTTGCATCTGTGAATCTTTTTCAAAAAAAAAATGTAACAAAATTTGAGTTGTAAATTAAAATCCACTTAATTTCTGATAAGCAAATAAAACTCAAAATATTGAGACGAAACAAATCAAAATCTCTAGATTTTGACGATGTCAATTGTAAATGGAAAACAAAACATTATTTTTCACTTTTTTAGTTAACGACTTTGGTTTTATTATTCTTTAAAAGCTTCTTAACACTATAATTTTTTTTTTTATAAAAATTAATTTTCTAGAAACATAAGGAATTTGATAGTATAATTTGTTTGATAGTACATAATAGTAGTACAAGATGATAGTACAATTGGAAGCAATACAAACACCGTTAAAAATGATTAAAAAAAATTATGATACTTTTTTTTTTCAAAATATAAGTTGTTTTAGCAAAAATCGTGAATATTAAGAAACTATATATGTTCTAAAAAATATCATTTAATATATAATAAAAATAGTTTAACCAATCATAAAAGAGACGGCAGAATATTAGTGGTCACACAGTATTCAATAAAATTAAGTACTCAGGATTATGAAAACAACTTATAATTTGAAATAAATAAAAATCTCTAAAACATCTTACATTTTGAAAGAAAAAAAAGGAGGGAGTATTATAGTTTGCAATGGTACTTTGCTGCTGATTGGTTACATTTACATAGTACACAAGTTGTAAGTCACTTATACAATGCTACCATTACTAAAAAAAAAAATTTTGTCAACTCAGAAATATTTTAGCAAGAAAGATGAAAAGTAAATAAATAGTGGGTATAAAAAAATCCGAGTTTAGTGTGTGAAACAAACCAGCCCGTTGGAAACAAACCAGCCGCCCATAGAAAAAACCCTCTCTTTCTCATCAGCCAAAAAAAAATGGCCCCTGGTTTCTATTACTCACACAGAATCTCTATCTTCTTTCCTTTTACTTTCTCAAATCCACCTTTATTGAATCCTTCCCCTTTTAATACTTTCCTCGTTGTTACCAAATCTGTTTCAAGCTTTTTGTTTCAAACAGTTTCATTTCTCGATAACCCAGATCGAAAATTTGTGTTTTTTTTTTTAATCTGTGAAATTTTTCCGACAAGTTGTATGGGAACTGGTACAACAATGGTGTCTGGAAAAGTAAGGAAAGATCTCTCGACCAAAACGTATCAAAATGGTAATATTCCGATCGTTGCTTCTACAGAGAATCGTTCAAGTTCACGTAAGAAGAAGATGATCCAACGACGGAACAAGGAAACTGTCATCTGTCCTGTCCAGAAACTGTTCGAGACTTGTAAGAAAGTTTTCGCTAATTGCAAATCCGGAACCGTCCCTTCTCCTCAACACATTCAGATGCTTCGAGCTGTTCTCGGTAAAGTTCCGTAACCCTTTTATTGAAAAACTTTTGATTCCAATTTCGAATTCGGGTCGGGTTATCGGGT